CTATGTTTAGACAGTTACCTATAGAAACTATAACAATGGTGCTGAGTATTTTCAATAAAATCTGGAGAGAAGGAGATATGCCAAGTGTGTGGAAAACAGCAGTCGTGCTACCATTCAATAAGCCAGGGAAAGATACAGCTAACCCTAGTAACTACAGACCAATAGCTCTTACACCACACCTATGTAAATGGATGGGAAAGATCATTGTCCGTAGGCTCTCACATGTACTGGAACAGAAAGGGCTGCTGAGTAGTTTTCAGAGCGGATTTCATAAAGGGCAGTTCAAAATAGATGCGTTAGTAAGAGTGAGTAATGATGTGGAAAAAACATTGAAAGTGAAAGAGATAATGGCAATAGTGTACTTTGACATTGAAAAGGCGTATGACTCATGTGGAGAGATGGGTTACTGATCAAATTGAGTAGAATGGGTATTGGAGGGAGAATGTACAATTGGGTAAGGGCCTTTTTAACACACAGGACATTTAGAGTAAAGGTTGGAGCAGATATTTCCAATTATTTTGAAAATAGAAAATGGTATTCCCCAAGGGAGTGCAGTCAGTCCAATATTACTTAACATCATGATTAATAACATTTGATTAATGACATATTTACTTGCTTAGACACTTGCATCCAATCGGCTCTATACGCAGATGATGGGGCTATTTGGATGAGGGGAAGAAATGCCCCATACGTAATGGAGAATATAGCTTGAGCGATTAAAAATGTGGAGAGGTAGTCATATAACTGGGGATTCAAAATGTCAGAAAGCAAGTCATGCTACATGGTATTTACAAACAAACGCAAGATTGATGGCCAACAGCTAACACTATATGATCGTCCAATGACAAAGGTGAATGAGTTCAAATACCTAGGACTGTGGTTTGATAGCAAATATACATGGAAAATGCATATTAAACAAATGGAAACAAAATGCAAAAAGTATTACATTTATTGCGAGCTGTAGCTGGATGCAACTGGGGCGCAAACAAACAAACATTAATTGACATTTACAGATCAATTATGAGGTCCACAATAGACTATGGTTGTATAGTATATGGAGCAGCAGCAAAAACATAGCTTTTAAAAATTGATAGATTACAATATAAAGCATTGCGGCTGTGCATTGGAGCGATAAAGTCATCTCATCAATGCAGTTCTGATAGAAGCAGGAGAGACACCTCTGGAAATCAGAAGAGAGAAACTTGGTCTGTCACACTGGGTGAGGCTACAAGGAAGTGGAGAGGAACATATCACAAACAGAAAACTACAGGATCGCTGGGAATATGCAAAATTCCAGGGACGTGGGTTTAGCTGGACGAGTAAGGAGAGAACGAGGACATATGGAGTGGAGACCATCAAGTTTGCCAAATCAACCCCATTTAGCAGTGTTCCCCCATGGCTTTCCCCAGAAGCTAACATAGATGTGAGTATCATAGAAAGGAAAAAAGAGTGGCAAATAAATGAAGTGGGAATTAAAATGAGTATCTACCTGAAGGAAATCTGAACGAAAAGTTACTACAATTCCTACAAATTTTATACAGATGGCTCTTATATATCCATATATATTTATATATAAATATGTATTTATATTTATCCCTTCTATTATCTTTAAATATTCTCTTATTTTTAAAAAGAACATTGATCAATTATCTTTATTCTGGTATAAATAATAATAGGATTGCAGTGTTGAAGATTCCTTACCAGATAGGGTTGAATGACAATCATGTCCATATATATTTCTATATATCTCTCTAACAATTCTTTAGGATATAGATAGTATAGAACTGAATCTCTATATATATCTATAGTATTTCTGTTCTGCTGTGGTGCCGTGCACTATGAGGTGGTATTATATAATATATATACTGTGTGTTTATTGTGCTGATAGATCAGCAAAAATGCACTATCTATATAATATTCATTATATTATATCTTAACTCTAAATCTTTGGGTAAAGGAGAAGGAAAAGCAGTCATTTAAGAAGAAAGGGATGGAGATCTGGCAGAAAAGGTGGGAGAAAGACCAGGAAAGGCAAGACTACCACAAAGTACAAAATACAATTAAGATTTACATCCTTCAGAGGCTGTTTATCCAAACATCGGAGAGGGTGGCTTCTCTTGAACGGTGTTCCTTTCAGATCTCGGCTTTAAAAAGGGAAATACAATTATTTATTTTTCCAAAAAAGCCAGCCCGGACATTTAGTTCAGCTGTGTGTGTGTGTGGTGTGTGTGTGTGGTGTGGGTGTGGGTGTGGGGTGTGTGTGGTGTGTGTTACTTTACATACATACTGAATAAATCTGCAGCCATACAGCCGTTTGATTTATAAACTCATGCAGGGACATCAGCAGGGGACGTCCCTCACACAATATCACATTCTTCTGTATGACAGTAATGGAGCAGTGAATCCGATGTTTGCAGAAGCTGACAGAAAACCATGCAGTGGATAGTTGTGTGTGTGTGTGTGTGTGTGTGTGTGTGTGTGTGTGTGTGTGTGTGTGTGTGGTGTGTGTGTGTGTGTGTGTGTTTGTGTGTGTGTGTGTGTGTGTGTGTGTGTGTGTGTGTGTGTGTGTGTGTGTGTGTGTGTTTCCTTTGTATTAATAGACCAAGGTCGCTGTTTCCCAGGACAGCAAAAACAAATATCCTTTTTTTCATTTCCCCTTCTCCTTTGGCCCAGATCAGACGTGATAAAACATCTTCAGCGTGGCCTCACCACCTCCTCTCCATCACACAGAAATATTAGAAACAGGATATGATAAATTGTCTCTCTGACCACGGTTGGATCCACTTCCACCCTTGACGTCCGTTCTGTTTTCTAAAACATGCTCGTGGTAATCCAAAGGGTTGGGAGACGACTCGCAGTCAGATTCAGTTAAACAGGCTGTGTTGTAATTAATTATGCTTAATGGCTCCAACAATGGGTGAATATTTAAAACACCGCTGTTTGCACTCTGTGTGCTCCGAGCATTGGTTTCTGCGTCGGGCACAAGAAGACAGGTTTTTAAGGTTCATTCTTAGACAGCTCACTTCCATTTGATTTACCACTAGACTCTAAAACACAGTCTTTTTAATTATAAAATGCAGAGATACACTTGACCCCATTAACATAGTGCCCTCAGTCATTAGCGATTAATTCGTATATCTGTAGATCCTTCCCTGACTGCACTTAATTAACTAAATTGCGTCACAGTTCATTCTCATGATGCGTTTGGTTGCGGTACACTTCTCATACAACAAACATGTGAAAAGAGTCGTGTTACTTCCTGCTGATTCACGTAACCATCTGCAACCTGAAAGGTGGTTTTTCATCAGATTAAGTAGTCTGAACATGTACCCGACCTTCATCCATTCATTCTCTTCTGAGAATAAACGAGTCGTGGTTTGAAGCATGGATTGATTCGGCTCTTGTGATTGGACGAGGCACTCCACCCTCTCTTATGGAGCAAAATTGAGTTTTTGGGGACGCCTCGGTCCTTCTATAATGGATGGAAATGAATGGCGGGGACACAACGAGAGCCGTTCAGACTCATCTGGCTGGTTGGACACCTCCGCTAGACGCCTAGCACTCTGCTAATGGCCCTTGTGTGTGTGTGTGTGTGTGTGTGTGTGTGTTTGTGTGTGCGTGTGTGTGTGTGTGTGTGT